GGGGGGGGGGGATATCACGGCTTTCGCACGCCCTTAAAAATATAAACCTTACCTGACAGTTGAATTTCAAATCCTTCACTGGAAACGCGAGTGTGTGAATGTCGCACACTTGCAGGTGTGTGAATGTTTATTCGTACACTTATTTTTCCTAGAAAATTCACACGTTTACCCCCGTAAGTGTACGAATGGGTGTTCACACACCTGCAAGTGTGTGACATTCACACACTTGGGTTTTTAGTGTTGTCACAACTAGACCAATCTCTGGCGGCCGTGTCGGTACACGGCTTCTCACCAGGGGCCATCAGCCGGTCTAGAAACCGGAGACTCTCAGCCGACATTTAAGTCCTAGAATCAACTAGACCAATCTCTGGCGGCCGGGTCGGTACCAAGCATCACGCCAGGGGCCATCAGCCGGTCTAGAAACCGTAGACTCTCAGCCGACATTTATTAAGTCCTAGAAACAACTAGACCAATCTCTGGCGGCCGGGTCGGTACCAAGCATCACGCCAGGGGCCATCAGCCGGTCTAGAAACCGTAGACTCGCTCAGCCGTCATTTAAGTCATAGAAACAACTAGACCAACCTGTGGCGGCCGTGTCGGTACACGGCTTCTCACCAGGGGCCATCAGCCGGTCTAGATACCGTAGACTCACAGCTGACAATTACAAACCAATGAACATATCTCCCGCTCTGCCGTGGTCGCCGCGATTGGTGGGAGTGGGACCACTAGGGTAGCTTGCCCCCCACCCACCCTTATCCCCCTACAACGCCAGAATAAAAGGCCGTTTCAGTAGGCAGCGCTCATCTGGAGCGTTCTACGCAACAGCCCAGGAAGTATGCAGCCCACTGGATCTCACCTTGTCCGTGTGGCTTTCATTCCAACCATCGCCATGCCGGTATGCAAGACGCTCAAGCCGATGGCAGCTCTGTCGGTTGAATAAGATGATTGCGAAAGGTGGTCAGGAGGCACGAAGCGAACGAGGCGCCTGCCCCCTGCCGCCTTTTGGAAGCGCCCGCAAACGTACTGTACCTTACATACAATTTAGGGGCCTAAGGCAGGGGTTGTGATGTTCCTGCACAGCTTGGCACGATAGTTTAAAGTCCATAATGAAACTCTCTATCAATGGTTTGAGCGAAATTCTGACTTTTATTTGTCACATGAAGAGAGCTCGGCGCCTGCGAAACTCAGGGTAGGCCACCGCGCAGTACACGCAAGCACCGCAGGCAAGATGTTGCCTACCTATTGGGATGCACGCATGCGTATACTTTTGCTTCTGTTTTGTTTTGCGGTGCACAAACCATTTTTTTTTACAGCTGCAGGGTGCCGGGTGCCCGTGCCCGGCCCGCGCGGCACACTCTGTTACCCGACGCCACCGTGGCCACGGAGCACCTCGCGGCCTAACACGTGCCTCGCGATGACGGCGGCAAAGTGGCCGCCCTGCCCTGTACAACGATAAGCCCCGCGGCCCGCGCGCGGTTCGGCACGGTCCAGGACCATCTGGTCCTATCGCCCGGGCTCGAAATAAATTAGACAAGGAGGGGCGTGAAGGTGCGGAAACTACACACACCTGCTGCATGCGGAGAACTGAGCGGACGACCACATCCACGACCGCCTCGACACCGCCGCCGCGCGCACGCCTGCGTCTCGTGACCGCTGGTCGCCGCTGGTTAACGTCATGGTGCAAGTCGCGGCGGCCGCCACCGTGTCGCAGGCGGGGCCGCGGTGGTCAACTGGACCACTGGTGCAAGTCACTCATCGCCGCGACCCCCGGCCCCCCGTCGAAGGGTCATGCGTCGCCTCATTGTTGCTCGGCCCGCCCACCGCACCATATCTATCATCGCATATCGCGTAGCCGTTTCGCAAGGTGTAATTACTTTTCCCCTGAGGGTGCTCCTAGGGTGCTCCTAGGGTGCTCCTAGGGTGCTCCTAGGGTGCTCGCAGGGGGCTGGTCGCGTCGCTGTCCTGTCCTGGCCGCGCGCTTCCTCCCCTCTGCCCCTCCCCGCGGCCGGCGGGATCCTCCTCAGTGAGAAACGGTGATGACGAAACGATACTAGACCGAAAACGATATGGGAAAACTGGCGATGTTCGTGTCCAATAGATTTTTAATCAGCTCGAAAACCGACACTCTTCTGGTTTTTTTGGCATCGTTTTCGATTTCCATTTCACAGCGGGTCATTTACCCCGCGTGGCCCTACTAAATTAGGGTGTAGATGTCCTAAATAAAATTTGAGGTCAAAATTCCTATAACTTCCAAAGTTACAGCATGGTAAACTTGTATCGG